TCACGACGCCGATTATTTTATTTTAATTTAATTTAATTTAATTTAATTTAATTTAATTTTGTTTAATTTAATTTTTTTTAGATTAATTTTTTTTCGTTTGAATATTTTATATTTGTTCGAGGATGACAAGCAACAGCGTGAAACACTCAATGGGCATTTCCTTTTTGTGAAATTACTTTCCGGCTGTAATGTGAATAATATTAGAAGTAAATAAGAAAGAGAAAAATAAGATTTACGTGTGCAGCTCCTTTGCTGCTAAACGTCATGACTCGTCCTTTCTCTGCTTATTATGCTACTTTGAGAGCGCAGATGGTGGTTGGACTTCAATTGTAACTCAGCGTATCTTCAACTGCGATAATATATAGCACATTCTGTGTATTTTCCGCTTTTGTTACGAAAGGAAAGCTTGACCGTGTTTATGCGTATAGTAATATAAAATATCAGATTCGCGACGGCGTTGATTAATTCATTCGAAAAATCATCGACCGATAAATCGGAGCGCGTAAACTAGACGCAAACCATTTTCCTCGCTTATCACTATATATTTAGGAATCATTCGATTATACCTGAGGACGCGACAAGTAGATCATACGCATTACGATCCGCCACCACTTTATTGGAACGGCACCTTTGTCGGGTTGGTAAAGGGGTGTCGGTCCCTCTCTTTCCTCCATTTGTTTCTCCACGAACCGGTTCCCGACCCGGGTTGAAACATCGAGCGTTCCGTTCTTCAGCTTCCATCTGTCGCCCGGCGAGCACGCGAGCTACATCGGAATGTGCGTCTCTTCGCGGTTGACACTCGCTTGTATTCCACGCGATACACACTAGGGAGAAAAAGCTTCTTCCTGTGTTAACCATCGGTTAGCGTCGCGCACCTCGTTATCGAGGCACGAACCCTTCATCGTGCCTTCATCGCGTGCAGGATGTAGAAAAAAATGAACTGGGATTGTAGAGCACAAAGTTGCCCGATAGTACGTCGGTCGACATTGACTTGTGTCTAATTTGTCAGTTCCCGTATGCAATGCTAATCCACGATTCTGATAAATTTTGCAACGCAATTATAATATTAATACAATTTATGATAATTTTAGGTTTTCAATTTATATTGTTAGGGTAAAAAAAAAATTGATTATTAAAATAAAAGATGTAGTTAGATATAATAGAATAAAAGAAAGGAATTCCTTCTGGGTGCATTAAATTATATTTCTTAATTACGTACTCTTTATTACGACAATTTTAACTTTAATCAAAATTATGTATATAGTATATTGATCTGTGTATTTAGTAATATATATATATATATATATATATANTAATAATAATAATTTTATTTATAAAGATATAACTTATGAATTTCTTTTTTGAATTAAAAAGTTGTGTCTGCATCTTTGATTCTGAATAATATTGCACTGGAAATGACAACGAATAAACATGTCAATGAAATATTACGTTCAAACGCATTTGTATCGATTATATTTACAATGCAATTATTGCATTGTAATAAAAAGATGAATATTGTAACTTTTGCGTACGTTGATATTGATTGCATCTGATACCACTACTGCTGTTCGTGAAAGTTTGGATACACGCTTTCTTCCTGATCTCAAATGCAAATCTAGACTTCCTAATCTAATTCTACGCTATAGTTGCAAACACGTTACGCAAGATCTATTTAAATATCCCTTCTATCTATTGATCTTATAACTTGACATGGCTAAACTATTTCTTCTAGAATTACAAACCTAAACTCCAAATATCATAGAATGTCGCTACATTTTTCTACTATCTTTTATCTTACATGAATCCAAAATTCCTTACAAATTCAAGTTTAACATTATAATAAATTAGATATAATTAAGATAAAAAAATCCGACACCGAATTTTTAAAATATATCTGTCCGAATTTCTGCGAAGTCTCGTCCGAAACAAATCCACTTTAGACTTGTATCGTTCCGCTCTTCAACTACTCGAGATACCGTATCGTCGTGGGCACCGTACGTCAAGTTCACCCACTTCGCGCATCGATTGTCGGCGGTGGAAGAGAATCTCTCGCTCGCTCGCGCACACTTAGCATACGCGTTATATGTATATCTGGTAGCATATAACGACGACCGGCGCGGCGGACGACAACCGAAGGTTGTTCAACTCGGGCGGATCTTGTAACCGTCAAGTATAACGGGTCCTAAGGCCCGCGCACGCCGGGCATCGCGCCGGCGCTCCACCTTCTCGGTTCGGTTTTACCTTCTCGCGAGCTAGGCGAGCGCGTGTGCACGCCGAGAAACCCTCTTCCTCTTCTCTGCCCGCTATAAACCTTCTTCAACCTGGGCACGACTTGTCGAGCTCGCCAGTCAGCCGTGCACCATTGTCGAAAGATCGTCCGGGTAGTCGACACTCTTCGCTTCGCGGTCGCGATCTCTTTCGTTCTCTCTTCCGTTTTTTAAATATCTAACGATTCGTCAAATTTTATAATTTATTTCAAGCATCTATTTATATACTTTTTCATTCTCTCGCTTCTTTCCCGCGGACGTTTGGTGTCTCTTCTTTTCCGAATAGATGGTCGCCGAGTAGTTGACGCGCGGGTTCGTATCAGTGGGTGCGCCGAAAAGTTTGTCTCGCGTCTTTTCGCGGTCGTCGGGGGTGCGTGTGTGTGTTATATATGAAGATCACCGCGTTAGCGGTGATTCGATGTGTCATTGAGCATTAATTGAGATCTAGGTAAGATCTTGATAAATTTACAATAATCATTAACCATTTTCTATGTATCACTTGATTGAATAGCATACTTGATTTATTTTCATATTTTTACTACTTTTATCGTCCATTTTTTGACAGTAATTATAGTGCATAAATGATGCATTAAGTATATAATATTATACATAAATGTGTGTATGCGTGTGTCATAAATGTCATATTATATATTTATATATGTTATTTTTTTTAATAATACAGATATGAAATTTACTTAAAATAATTTAAAACAAGTAGAGTTTTGCAAATTAGAAACTTGCACGTTGCTTCCTCATCATTTTATCTTACAATGCTTAATCTGCTTTAAACGTGCGGATTTTTCAATTTTTGCTTCCTCATAGAAGAAGCTTTGTGAGCGAAATAAAAATTAAAATGATTTCTTTCACCGATTCTCACTAAATTCAATATCAAACATCCTTTAATAATACTCTATTCATGTAAAAAAATTTGATTCGATATCTCAAATCTTCCGAAAGTTACAGTGTGTACAGGCATTTTTCAAAAAATTCAAAATTTTATAAAAAATAAACTTTTTCAACGATACTCACCAAATTCAGTAGTAACCATCCTTTAATAATACTTTATCCATCTAAAAAAATTTAATCCGATATCTCAAATTTTCCGAAAGTTACAACGTGTACAGACATTTCTCAAAAAATTCAAAATTTTATAAAAAATAAACTTTTTCAACGATACTCACCAAATTCAGTAGTAACCATCCTTTAATAATACTTTATCCATGTAAAAAAATTTAACCCGATATCTCAATAATTGCGGAAGTTAGAGGTTGTACAATATATTGCGTACATACATTATAGACACATACACACATACATACATACATACAGACATTTTTTAGGAATATGATTTTTCGACGTTTTGGAACATTCTAAACACATTGGCATAGAAAACTCGAAAAAAAATTTTGTCACAAAAACAAAGCTTCCTCTATGAGGAAGCAAAATTGTTTAAGGAATTTAATCATAATTAATTTTAATTTTAACTCGAAGTTTTTATGTAACGCGAAGACGTTATTTTGTTGAGAAACATAAGATATCGATATAACAATGTTATCAAATATCGTATGGTTCAGATCCGGGATGTAACATCGCTAATTGTATCCGTACCTATTTCATCGCATTGGTACAGCTCAGTCACTTCCTCAGGAGAAGAGCTTCTAGTTCATCTTCCTGTTTCTCTTTTTCGCATCATTACGTCACGTTATACTTGTTGGATCGCGTTTCACGGATGTCTTATTATAGATAACTTATTGTTTCGTTACATGATTGGAATGTAATGGGAACACTTTTGGAGTTTGTACGCCACGGTCTAAAAAATATTAGGAAATAATTACATTGATTAGATTAATCAATGTTATTAATATATACTATGCGACCTACTTATACCAAATCATTTATTGATGAAAAAGTGAAAGAATCTTTAATATGTGTGGAGACACGATTAAAATAATTCTACATTTTAGAAAAGTTTAGGACTTTAAAATTTTTTATTATTAAAATTTTGTGAAAATTCATTTTTAAGTCAAAATTTTAAATAAATTTAAAATAAATTGAAGAATAAGATCCTTTTTATCTATTTGCATCTGCGAGGCTTAATTTGCCAAAATCTTTTTTTGTCATATTTAAGCTCTCATTATTAATTAAATGTTAATGACATTTCTTAAGAATTATTTTTCCTAAGAAAAAAATATTTTAATTATTGACAAGAAACACAGCTTTTTTGCACCAAATTAATACATCGCCTAATACTGTGCATAGGTGCATGTGATCTATCGATTATATATATTCAAAATTATTAATAATTATTTAGGTATTAAATATGATTCATAGATCGAGAAAATAATGAAATTATAATTAATTATTACGTTTTTATTATATATATTTGAATACTTTCCATTTTTTCCGTCTGTTTTCTTTTTCTTTGCTATTTTACGGACGTGTTGAATTATTTACTTTATATTATAGTTCTTTATGCTTTAATAAGTCTCACGCAATGAAAAAGATCATCCCGTTATGCTTCTACATAAAAAAACGAAAAAATTGGAAATAATAAAGAAGTTTAAATATCAAAAAATATAGCATATATATATTGGTGTTACCGTTATTAACGCGAAATGAATTAAGAATCGATGGGAAGGGAGACTTCGCGTGAGAACGTTCATTGTGCGGGACAGTTACGGCGATGAAGCATCCGCTTCCCGTAACGATCGTACATCTGTCCGTAAATGAGATTCGATCCAATCGCGTTGAGAGATCAATGCGATTTATTGACCCGAACTATCGAAAGGAACGCTCTTTCATCTTGGAGCTCTGATCATCGTGTCTCGTGGTCTTCGTTTTTTTATCTTCTGTTATCTGATTTAAACGGCGATAGGGATGTTCGATGTTCGTTAGAGCACGAATCTGTTTGTTAAATGGCGTAGCTTTATTACGCTCGCGATTTTTTCCGCTGTGGCGTTCAGCGTTCCAGAAACGGATTCCTCGAACATAAGCGATTCCATGAATACGTGAATAGCCTTCAAGTATTCCTTCGCAGATTATTGACGACTTTATTGCTTTGTTTAAACATATTTCATCGCATTAATATAGATACAGATAATATTTATAAGAATATTAAGTTTTAATTAGCAGAAAAAAAAAGGAAGTAATACTTTGATATTACGTTCCACTGATCTTACGAGATATCTTGTTATCATTTCTTTGATCTATCATAATTTTTAAATTTACTTTCCGTATTAAATTTTTATTTAATGGAATCACACACAGTATGACGTTAAAGTAGTTCCTCGTAATTGCACTCGTGTCTATTTACTTTACAATTGCGGAAAATTACTGCAATACGCTTGCCATCGAAAACAGTCAGTGCGTAAATAAGAGCATGAATAATAACAATTATTGTTGCATACAATAGTTCAATTTTGCGAAGGTAAAATTACAGGAGTTCCATCCAAAGCAGTTCATAGTCGCCAAGAATTACGCTGTTATAACCAATTAAAATTTTTTGTAATTATTGTATATTTATCAATTAGAAAAACTGCTTATAGTCTGTCACACATAATTATAAGAAACGAGTATTAATTTGTTATTTTATTTATATTATTATTTTAATATTAATTTTTCAAATAGTTTAATACCGCTTTCATGCAAACGGCTTAAAAATTTAATGCTAACGCGACAGTTGAGATATAATTACGACAATATTTATATGATATTTATATTTAGCAAAAAATATAATTTATTTAAGTATATTGTTTGATCGATCGCTTTTTTTTTTTGCACTGACGCATTTGTTTGGAATTCAGAGAATTTCTTTTAGCGTTATTCGCAAATTCAATGGAGTCGCTTATGCGCGCAAGCGGTTGTTTGTAAAGATACATTCAAATGGTTAACGGTACCTACCTGTTCGTAGAAAATTTACTCGTTGAATTCTACTATTCTACACCGGACTATTCTATACCGGCGAATAATGCCCCGGCTTCTCGCACTTCGATCACATTTTCACATTCTCTAATATTGCCGTGGGATGCAGGATCGACGCCTCACGTACGAAAGACTCCCGAAGAAGATATCGATGCCCCGACCGGGGTACCGTTAGTAGACACGATTATATGAACGGAAAAATGCAACGGTAAATTACATCCAGGTGACAATTATGTAATCGTTAACCAAATTCCACGGATTCCATTGGCGGGAGATATTAATTGTAAAAGGTAGTTGTTGCGGCTTGTCTTTCTCAAGTTGAGACTAAAAGTACCTAGTTAATCCTCGGCGGAGATTTCAATGCACGGGAGTTTTGCTCGTTTATGAATGATCAGGACATTATTTAATTAAATATTATCTGTAAAATAATTTCTCTTAATTTATGTATTGGTTACAATTTTTATTGATAAATGTGTGCTTTTTGCTTCTTTTCTGTGTAATTATACCTTAAATATAAATTTCCAATAAAGTAAAATTTACCTACATTGAAATAAAAAATTAACCGAAGAATATTAGTTCTGTTAAAAATTTCAATTCACAAAAGTTTTTTATGCTTAATCTACTTTACTTATTTGAATACTATTAGCGTGTTTAGATATATGTATAAATCGATATCGATCAAGAAAAAAAAATTTAATTTAAATTTTTAATTAAAAAAGTCTTTTTAATTAATACTAATTTATATTAATTTGATTGGTTTATTCTCTGAGACACATAGATGTAATATTTTATAACTGCATTAAGTATGTTTTGTTACTTTATTCCGTATTGTTTTTTTTTATTTAATCTTTAATTGCATGCTTAGTGCTTCACAGTGGTGATAATCTTTTTGTTACTTTACGAAAGATCAAGTCTTAGCTATTGCACAGAAAAGGTAAGGACAATGTTTAATAACACGCTGTTACATGGGACTTTTTCCAAGATCTTTATATATGTATATAGTATATATATAATTATTTATTATTATTAATTATTATTTATATATATAATATAATTATTTTCTTAATAAAATTGATAAAAATTACAATGTTAATAAAATTATTAATCCTCGGCGGAGATTTCAATGCACGGGAGTTTTGCTCGTTTATGAATGATCAGGACATTATTTAATTAAATATTATCTGTAAAATAATTTCTCTTAATTTATGTATTGGTTACAATTTTTATTGATAAATGTGTGCTTTTTGCTTCTTTATAGAAGAAGCTTTGTTTTCGTGACAAAATTTTTTTTCGAGTTTTCTATGCCAATGTGTTTAAAATGTTCTAAAACATCAATAAATCATATTCTTAAAAAATGTCTGTATGTATGTATGTATGTATGTGTGTATTTGTATATGTTTGTATGTGTGTATGTGTGTATGTGTGTACGCAATATATTGTACAAACTCTAATTTCCGTAATTTTTGAGATATCGGGCTAAATTTTTTTTACGTGGATCATTGAAGGATGGTTGGTATCGAATTTGGTGAGAATCGATGAAAAGATTCATTTTTTATAAAATTTTTAATTTTTTGAGAAATATCTGTACATGCTCTAACTTTTGCAAATTTTGAGATATCAGGTTAAATTTTTTTTATATGAACAGAGTATCATTAAAGGATAATTGGTATTAAATTTGCTTCCTCTATGAGAAAGCCAAAATTGAAAAACTTGCTTGCTTTAAGGAGCTTAAGCTGTGAGCGAAATAAAATTCCTCTATGAGGAAGCAATGTGCAAATTTTAAATTTGCGCAATTTTCAGCTTGTTATACTTTTTATTCAAGTTTCTCGAAAAAAGTTTGATATTATTTCACAGTTGTAGATATATCCATGCACTGTGGTATGAAATTCTACGATTTCATTGCGCGAGTGCATGCTTAATTTCATGTAAACGTTGATGTTAAAATAATTTCACCGCTTGTATTCTACGCACGTTGATGGTTGAACAATCGGAAATGAAAATTGAATACGAACGATTCTTTCAATCAAGACCTTCGATAACAAATCGTGGTAATCAGAGATTCACGTCGCGTCTAAGTAAAGTCGCCAAAATCACCTGTCTCGACAATTGCGTCATTAGTAACTTAATGATCGTGCATCTTAAATTCTTCAATTGTTGTTGTCCAACGTTACTTTAAAACTCTTAATGCTCAGACAACAAAGGTCGTGTCAGTTGTAGATTAAATACATAAATTTTTATACATGAATTATACTTATAAATACTTGATTTAGATGTTCAATATTTATCGTATAACATTCTGTAGAATTGTTTATATTTACAATTATATTTTCAGACTGATAGGAATTAAATTATCGAGAAGGAAAAAATTAAAAATCTCAAATTAAATATATTGTTCTCATCTGCTTGATGTAATATTTTATAATCAATCAGAGAAAATATATGTATATATATTTGATTAATATTTATCTGCGGTTTATGACATGCGAGATATTGCAAAAGTGTTTGTCGAAACACGTAAAAAGTTAAATACATATTACAGATGTATATCTTCGTTCGCAATAGCGTTCACGCATATACTTATTCTCATGAATGTTAATGCAAGCGTCGCGTCGTCGTTGTCGTCATCGTAAAATTAAAACCTTCCACTTCCGCGTTTGCTCCACCGTTTCCTGTCGCTCCTTCTGCGCGATTCTTTTATAATTCTATACGATCGACTCGATCGCACCTTTCATTTCGACGATCGCAAAATCGTTTTTGCGTTCTCTTACTCTCGACTGGTTCCCGATGATACACTCCATACGCGTGCAACGAGATCTACGATCTAGATCATTGCACAAGATCAGGTTCGACATTTAGGAGTGTAGGTCATCGTGTCGAGGACAGCCTCTAGACACGCGTATTTCGCGATTCACGGAATCTCCCTTTGTCCTTCATTTTACAATTCACAGCGCATCGATAAAGCCATTTTTGAATTTGTAAATGAATTTCACAAAAGAGATTGCGATGTAATCTTTTTTTTGTATGTATGTATATATGTGTAGTCTTATTCTAAAACATTCTTTTTTAATTTTTGTTTCAGTGCAAAGATGCGGATGCAGATATTGAAGATTGTGTTGGTCCTCCTTGTCGCAGGATCAGGGGATGCCAGACCTCAGAAAAGTGGTAGGTTTTTTTTTCAAGGAAATCATATTATATGCGATGACAATATTATAACGTGATGGAAACAATCGGTAATGTCTAGCAATCAAATCACGTAATGCAGCGAGTTGGTAGCAAAAAACGATGTTTTCTAACGCAGGGTTAATGCCTTTTATGCGGCACAATCGTAGCTAATAAACCGTGCCATCTGTCTTCTTTCATGTATTTCAATATATTATATGACAGCTAAAAAAATTTATCTTAATAATAATTAATTAATATAATATAGTTTTAGCTATTATTATAAATACATATATACTGCTGAATCCGCCGTCCACAACTGTAAAGAGCACGGAGGTCGAGAAAATGAAATTACAACAACCTTTCCAGACAGAAGTACGATTGACGGTCAGACCAAGTTCGTCAATCGACAGAGTAGAAACGATCTCGCAGCCTGATAAGACGGCAGAGAAAATCACGTCGCAGTTGATTCCCGTGATAACCACGGAAAAGGTAACCGTGATCACGAAAAAACCGACTACAACAATCATGAAAAAGATCACAACTACTCTAAGACCGGAGAGAGGCACTTCGGATTCAGAGAAGTTAGAATCCTCTTCGGGTACGACTTTAAAAGCAGTTCGCACCACAACTGTAAGCACTTTGACGAATGATGGAACAGCTTCCTCGACAACCATTTTTACGACGAAGAAGAGTCAGGGGACGCGAACCACTTCTAAACCGAAGATTACTACACCGAGAACGACTTCGCATTCCAAGCTGATAACGACAAAGCCGACGAGATCAGGTCAACAAGGTAGACCGAAGCCTACCACGACAAGAAGAACCACGATCAAACTTGAAACAACGAAAAACGAGACTTCTACATCGACCGGTAAGATTGAGAAAGTGACCTTCAAACCGGTTCAAATCATCACAACTCCGCAGAACAAACCGGAGAATACCGAAAAACCGATATTTGTCACTAAGATAAAAGCTTCGATGCTCATGGACAATCAGAAAGCCTCGACCACTTTACTTCCGACATCGGTTGCAATCACCCCAGGTTCCGATATCGCATCTAAAGAGGTTTTGTCCGGCGGCGATCTCGTGGAAGTGCCAGTGAGATCGAAACCGATCGGCACGAAGGTGAACAACGTGTTGAAAGTACAGCTGAAAAAGCCTGCGGATGAGACTACGCAAATCGAAATAGAGCCGATTAAAGTGAACGCGCCGATCTTGAAAATCGAGAAGATCGACAAGGACAAGATGGAGCAGATTGTAGAGAAGGATACGAATAATCTGAGTAACTCCAAGATAGACTTACAGTTTGACTTTAATCCCGAACTGACGAAGATTAATGTAGAAACGCAAACAGAAATGACCGCAACGTCGACAACGACGACCGCAACGACAGCGTCGACCACGACTAAACGTCCGAGACACAGTTCGAAGAGGAAGAAGAACAAAGTTCGCAGACGCAAACCATCCAGGACATCAGCGGCGCCAAGTTCGACAACAGTTGCGACGATCGTCTCTACTTTGATGGAGACCAGCGAGAGTATCACGGACGCTACCTTCTTAGATAACGCGATCCAGGAATCAAAGATCGCACCCGAGACAAAGGTTGCAGCAAACTCGACAAAGAACAAGAAAAAACAGCCACCAAAAGCGATCGGCACTCAAATTTACAACTTTCTCAGTCGCGAGGTGATGCCTAGCTTCGGCGTGATGTCGTTGGTGGGTCTGGGTCTCGGTTTAGCCTCGTACTTCTTGTATCCTTTCGGCGGTACCATCGCCCGAAGAAATTACGACGTGGAGCAAAATTACAAATACAATCCGGACGAATACGGCGGTAATTACGGACAGAGCGAGGAGGAGGTGTTATCCAAGGTGTTTCAAGGTATGACGAATCACGAAAGCAAATATCCGGGGGTGAAGGATGCCAATAGCAATTATTATCATTATCAGCATTACGATGGTGCGTATGATGCACAGACAACGAAAAAGACCGACGCGAGATATCCGTCGATATCCACATCATCCGTTTATAAAACGATGGAAAACACCCAGCCGGCAGTTAAGTATCGGAACACGGACTTTAGATATACCGAGGCTCAAACCACTCCGGTTTATTACGATCACAAGCATTCGGATCTGTCAGAAATCGCAGGATCAGCGAATCGGCAGTTTGTGGTCGGTAACGTACCCAAGGAATATCCCTTTGACGTGAAAGCGGCCGCCTTGCCGATAGACAGCAAGAACGGCGTTAATTATGTATCGACTGAGATCGGGCAAACACAGTTTGAGAGAGATATCGCGCAAGGTTTCAATTTTCCACCGAACTCAGCTGATGTGCACAATTACGGTCACCTGGAAGCATCGACTGTCAAACCGGACGATGGATATGAAGAGATCGAGATAACTCCGACCGCGGTAGCCGTCGAACATGGACCGCGATCTCTCAAGGTCAGACGCGCTGTTAGTACCAGCGAAGGTGACCGACATTTGAGGCCGAAGAGAGAGTCGGTAATACAGGTGATACCTTCAAAACACGAACTGGAGGAGGAGCGCGAAGAGATGGAGAAGGAAGAAGACTTGAGCAACGAGATTCTGGACATCATCGACTCGGCACTGCCGGGTGGAGAGCAGCTAAAGACGAAGAAAAGTAGCGAGGACAACGAGGTAGAAGATATCGAGGGACAGAGGAAAAAACAGCAGGAGGAAGCCAATACGCGTGCGAAGGAATCCACTATGAAGACTCTTACCACCGTGAAAAATATTGAAAACGCAAAAGATACGACAAATATCCCCGAAAGCGCGTCATCTACTCCCAAGATCGAGCAAGGGAATGACGGTGTTTCAAGCACCTCTTCAGAAACTTCTTCTGATCGAGATACCACAGAGACGAATTCCGCGAGCACGACATGGAATCCGAAAAACTCGGAAGCGACAACTGTCGAATGGTTCGAGAGCTCGACCACGAAGAAGCCCCCGGAAGGATTTAGCCTTTTCAACTTCGTAAAGAAAGTGGCCGAGATCAAGTTCAGGCTGGGCTTGACGATCCTCAAGCACGCCAGCGAAGGATTCGCGCGATATCTAGGTCACGTGCAGAAAAGGATCAACGGCGAGGAATGAGGGTGACCGGGTATAGCAAACTCGAGGAGCGGCGATAAATTGACTGGCGATAAAAGTTTTGCGTTTCGCGCTATAATTTATACGTTTTGATCGCGTTCTCCAATCTACCCTACGCGGCGCGCGTTTGCTTGAAAATGTTATTCGCCGGGATAACCGCGATCCCAAAGAGCCTCGTAAAGAAGAAGCAACATCTTCCCTGACATCTTCACGGTCGATTCGAGACGCGATTTCACGGACGATCATTTTTGTTTATTCGCATTGCCGATAAATCATCGTCCTTTCACTTAGAAAGCTAAAACGATGAAGAGAAACACGAACTACTGTTACGTCGGTGAACGCGTGGCGTCTTCCTCTTCAAAGTATGGGATCTTTCGCCAGGATCTTCCTCGATGCTTGACGCGCGAGGGATCGATGATCGATGACAATGCAATGTACTTCAGTTTTACGATAAATGTTTGATTAGTTTGACGAGCTTTAATATCGGTTTTCGGATCCTCGCGCGTAAACGGACGACACGCGACATGACAAGATGTGTTTTAAGAATATATTTCTTCAGACTCAAAAGTAGCGCGGGAGTTTGGTGAGGGGTTTCGATAAATTTCTTTCTTCCAGAAAATCGCAGTTAAATTTTTATTAAAGATCCTTGTATCTCTTCACATAATTTACTAGTTTGGTATGCGTGCTGCTCTCATTCTATCTCGCCAAAGAGCGAGGAAAAACGTATGGACGAGAGCCGATTATTAGGCAACTTATATTGTAAAGTACTATATATAAATAAAAATAAATAACTGAAACGAATATATAAATGAATAAATAAATAAGTAAACTCTCTATGTAATACCCTAATATGAGTTATGTAAATAAATATTGGAGATTGTGAACGCTCTTGTTTCTCTCTCTATGTTACGCTATACAAAAAAACATGTCATACTAAAACATTTATTTCTGACGGAGAAGATTTTACTATGAATTATTTCAAATCGTATCAATAAGAAAACTGAACGTGAAGTTTCTTCAACAATTCGATCTTCAACAAATACAAATTCGACAACTTACGCTCAATAAAATAATTAAACTGTTGCAAATTGAATATTGATGCGCCTGTTAACGGAATAAATTGAAAATTTACATCTACCATATAACAATATCTTCTCAAGCTTAGAATATAAATTATAAATATTTATGGATAGCGATAAAAGTCCAAATGAATTATGTTTTCTCTTTTTTTTTTGTACACAATTCCAACTACTGTCAACAACGGCAATTTAAACGTGATAAACAGTGGAGTAGCAAAACATACGAGTAGCAAAACAACATGCGGAAATTTCTTTGCGATTTTCGCGTTCCTCTATTCACTAATATCTGTACTGGAATAGCAATAGAGAGTAATCGTTCTTAAATCGATCGTACTTATACGCTCGCCTGTAAATACGGACGGAATTATATTGATTATTCATTTAGTGTTTTATGACATCTATAGTCTAGCTGATTAATATAATGTTTCCAGAAATGGTCTGTATAAACGTGTATATATATATATATATATATATATATATATATATATTCAACTTTAAATCTGATCTGTATATTGAAATTCTATTTGAGTAATCGGCGCAAAAATCCACTAGATTTATGAGTAAATTATTCAATATCGCTTTTGTTTTTATATTCTCAATGTTTTGAAACTTCAATGTCATTTGTACATATCGCGCGTTCCATTCTCCATCTTTTGCATCGCCGTTAATGAGTATTTTTTGAATGTTAAACGAGTCTTATTGGTCTCCTTTGCTGGGTGTTATATTCCCCCGCGAGCTTATGCAGATCCATTTGGAGATCGTAGGGCTTGCTCAAGCCATGATCCATCAGTCTCAAATCTCTCTTTCGACGGCCCAGCATCATCGGTATCATCATTGCCATTGTCGCCGGCAACATACCTGTTGTGGTACACAGGTACGATAATTATAAATTTAATTAAGCAAATAAAGAGAAAGGCAGAATGTCCCAGATTTTTTGTAATATTAATTAATGACAGATTTTGCAAGACTAAGTTAGATATAGATAAGACAAAGTCAGAAAGAAATCTTTTTCAATAATAATAGATATAAAATTAAATTAATATTGATTGATATTTGAGGACCTCTTCTATTTTCAAAGCTATTATAATCTTAACATTTTTATATTAGAATTTTCGTCTCTAGATAATTTCTGTCATTTAATGGTGTTACAAAAGATCTAGAACACTCTGTATATTAAGATCCCGCAATTTAAAATCAAAATATGAATTACGTAAATTTGAGTTAAATTTATTTTTGTTAGAAGGTTACCTTTGACGTAATAAATATAATATACAATTTGATAAAATTTTGATAATATATAGCTCGTAAAAATGCACAAGGATAAGAAGACGGAATCTAATTATCTAACTTTTAACGTTGTTATATCAAGAAAATATAAATATTAGTAATTAGTTTAGAAACTAAATTACCATATCATTTTTTACAATTTTACATTAGATTAATGTATTTTTTATGTATCATTAAATTAATATTTATTAATTCTAATATTTAACATGTTTGCCAAACTCACTTTCTTATTAAATGTTGCTATTAAATTTATCACGTCAAATTAAAATATAAATCTGTCAAGTATACATATTTTAATTTGTTTTACAGCTGTACCTGCTCCGACGGCTGCCAGAACTGCCGAGCTCGACGGTTGTCCGCTCAAAGTGTGTCTGATCGGTCTTTTGTTCGGGATACTCGGTTCGGTCGTCAATTTCCCCATCTCGTACTCCTTGCGGCTCTGCTCGACG